CATTCGAGTTCGAGGAAACTGTCGCTACCTCCTAAAAAGAAATTTCATCAACTTATTTTCTACAAATTTTATTTCTATAAATTATATAGATATGCAAGTAGTATAAAATAATCTCGCTTTACGAATAAATTTATCATTTATTTTTGCATTATTATTTTGTTCGTTGAATTACCTGCATGTTCCGATTGTGGCGTGCCTAGCATAGCTAGTACTCGTTGTGCGTTCCTATCAAGTTCCTGACGTGCAAATGCGTGATCGGCCCGTTCCTCTTCCAGAAGACGATTCGCTTCGGCTAACTCGAGCTTCAATTTATCGTTCTCTTTTCGCAGACTGCTGCTTTCCTCATTCAAGCGTCTCAAGTTATCCTGCAAAGTCTGCACGTCATTCCATGCGTCCTCCGTTTGGCAACCCTTGTGTAATCTCTCGATGACCTCGGGCCCGGCGACGGCGCTCGGTTGTCCGGATATCATGTTCTCGATATCCTGCCCAGTCAAGCCGGTCTGCGCACTAGTCTCGTGATATATACGAGTCTTCTCGACGGTTCTTTGTCTAGGATAGGGCGGTAAGCTTTTATGAGCGGAAGACGAATCTCTCCCCATAATGTTTTTCTTCTCAATGGTTCTGCTGAGGCTAACGTCTCGACTTCCGGATCTACTTCTTGCTGTCTTGTCCGTTTTCTCTCCAATTTTCGAAATTGTCAATTTATTTCTGTTCCTACGCGGTAACGTTGCGTACGTATCGAGTGCCTTGTTATCTTGACCAGTAGCTTTATTATCAGTACGTGAGATAGTACTCTTTGCACAGAGAGCACGAGAAGTTGATAAAGACGGTACCTTCACTCTCGTTTCTTCGGATGGCGTGGACGCCGGCGTGCGCACTCCCCGCGTACTGGATGCGGTCCTCGATCTCGACGAATCGTTCCTGATGACTCTCCCGCTACGCTGCGCAAGATCCTTATTGATCTCCGTGGTCAGTGCGGATGGCAGCGAATCGGGCAACACCCTCGTCCTTGTTTTCGCGATTGAGGACGAAGTGGGAGTGGATACCGAACTGGACATTACGTTGTTGCTGGACCGACAACCATACGTCACCGTACTACGACTTCCAACAGGCGTCTTGGAGACATCCCCAACGAGCGACGAGTTCGATTCCCGGCCACTCAATTTCTCTCTCGATCGTGGTCGATGGTCCCGTTCCCTGCTCGTGCTTTGAGTCTTGGTCAAAATGTTTCTAGGAGTTGCTGTTCGCGATTTGGACCGCGGCGTCGTCGAGCCCAAGTTCGTGCTCGAAGTTGTGTTTGTTGGTTTTGTGCGAACACTCTTCTGCGACTCGGTAGCGCTCGTAATTTTCTTCTTGGTCGCACTGGACGCCGTTGTGGTCCTTTTCACGTTCATACGACTCGTTCGCACGGACACGCTGCCAGCGATGGATGAGCTTTCACTACCACCCTCACTCGTACCCTCGCCACCAGTAGTACCCAGCCGCACATCGTCTGGCAACGTGGATCCGCATGCATCTTCGTACACTGAGCAACAACTGACGAGGCTGGATGCGCAAGAAGCATCGTCCAAGCCACCGCAACTGCTCGTGTAGTCGATGCTATTTCTACTACGTACCTGCAAAACAAAAAAAATGAACCAAATGAGTAATTACTTATAGATCTATCATTTATATTATATTATATTATAGTGTCTGGACACTTTTGGCAATTTTACATGTTGAAATTATTTTTTATTTTAAGAAAAATATTTTCTTCATGAATAAGACTTTACATTAAAACTCACTCTTGGAACTTCCGTTGCGCAACCTTCAACACCGCTGTCACTACCATCCTTGCTATCCTTATTTTCGGCCAGTGACTTGTCGTTTGTCTTGCCGTTTTGCGACTCGCTAATGTGGATGACGGTAATATTGCATTCGCTGTTCATAGTGAGATCCGGATCTTCCTCCCCATTGAGAGGCGAAGCAAGATCCTCCGGTACACCCGAGTCCTGTCGCGCTACATTTGACGATGTCACCTTCAAACAATTTTCGGGCTCGAGGTACGAGGTTTCCATTACAATGGTGTTAAGTAGATCACTCATTTCGTTTTTATCATTTTGCCACTGGAAAATATCCCAAAAAAAGCAAATAAATAAAAAAATATATATAAATATATATAATAAGTTTTGGAATTTGAAATAACAGTTAAGTAAATATATTTCCGAGGCTTATCAAAATCTAAGAAAGATCTATTTCCTTTTACTAGCACTTTGACCACAAACTTGTAAAAGCTAATATGAAATAAGATTTTTTGTAGATTATGCAGTGAGACGATACAGTAAACATATTAACTTAATTTTCTGAAATTAGATAGCTGATTGTTAAATCAGGAATTAATCATGTTATAAAAGTTTTCAAGTTCACAAAAAATCATGCAATATGGACAGTAATGAACTGAGGATATATGTAGACAGGAGCAATTAGCTTGCACATAGGCTTGCATATAGGCGCCAAGTCGATAAAGCTTTCGTTTCCGAATCGAGTTATGGCATTCCAATCACGGTCATATTGAATTAGTCGAATGGTACACACGCCTCTCTTGCAAAGGAAATTATTTCGTAGTCTGGACATGTTTTTCCGATTCATGCCAAATCAAGAAACAGCTCGGTGGTGAACTATTTTGTAGACAATAATAAATACTAAGTAAAATATTCTTATCAATCTGTATAGAATATTATATTTTTAATTATGTAATTTTGAAGAGAGAAAGAGAGATTTTTTTCACTTACATTAAGAAATTATATTCATTTATATTTATAAGTCATAAAATTTACAATTTGTAAATAATTTATAACAAATAAATGCATGTTATAACACAATGTAATATGACATAACATTAAATTTACGATGGAAAGTTCTATTTATTGCTTTTGCGAAAGATTAGTTGACATTTTTTAAGCTAAGCCAACTCTTTCTCTCTCTCTCTTCCCCTTCAAACTCTCTCTTATCAGTTTATCTCTCCTTTTTAATCGACGTACTTAGACCAATAAAGGCCAGTATTATGTAGATATGAAATCGTAATAACGTGAGGAGTAACAAGGGGTTCCCCCTGGGCGCATATCTATGAACACAGCTGATACCTCAGATTGTTCGCACAGATATTCTGCCATATTATTATATATTGAGTCATTAAATTACTCCTTCCCAATTATCGGATGACGTAGTGTTTTTTACGCATGAATCGCGATGAGAAATCATATGATCGAATGACAGTGAGAGTGGCCACGTGCCAGGAATGTAATTGAGTGGGATTTTGCAAGATAAGACATATGTGCACGATGATATCGATACTTATAAATATTGACCATTAGCAATTAGAATTGACAAATTTCTTACAAAACAGAAAAAAGGCATTAAGAACAGAGACTGACTTACTTAAGAAAAAGAAAAGAAAAAGACTTAGTCTAAACCAAGGTCTAAACTAAAGAACGAAGACGGAGGAAATATATTCTAACATATCGCAATAAAAATTTGAGAATGCAAGAGATATACTAAAGGCTTTTGTTTGAAAGGCTACCTCTTTGTATTTTGAAGTTTAGTCTAATAAGATACGTATTAATTTGTCCATCATTGTTAAAACTCTTGCTGGGGAAAAGTGCTCTCCACATTCGTTCCAAGTACACTTTCTGTTTTAAACTTAAGCATGCACATTTTGGCATTTCTCCTTGATTGCATGGTGAAATCTGCAGCACACATTCAGAAAATATTTGCATCACTCTCTCTTTCTTTCGAGGGATTATAATATTTCAGAAGAAATATTTATTTTTAGCTAAATTTATTTTTAGCTTCCTAAATAAGATAAAGATAATAAAATGTTTCAATTCTTATATTATATTTTTAAAGATATAGCTTCTAATAGTTTTTATTATTAAAAGCTAATATAAGAGAGAGACATATAATTAAAAAGCAATTTTAAATGTATATGTACTAAATATTAGTATACATAAAATTTATATCTAAATTTATGTTTATGTATAAAATAAAAATTATATATACCAATAACTTCATATATCAATAAAAAGAATTGTAAAAGCTAAACAAGATTGCCAATTAATTTTAAACACTCTAAAAACTTAAAGCTGACGTTACAATTATATTAAGAAATGTTGTTGTAAAGCCTCTTTTCAGACACTGAGTCGGCAGACCGTTTTGTCCTTCGCTTGGCCATGATGAATAACGAGAGATTGGCGTGCCGAATTAGAAAGAGAAAGACAGACAGACAGACAGAGAGAGAGAGAGAGAGAGAGAGAGAGAAAGAGAGCGCGCAAAAAAGGTGAAGCAAAGTCGTAACTAGACTGTGGCAAATTCTTTATAATTTCAAAGATTTTTTTTTCGATTCGTTACATATTGCTATATTTGAATCGCATACTTTGATATTTTTGTGTAAGAGAAACAGTGTATACATTTACATTAAAAATATAAAAAACATAAATTGATATGTGAGAATAAATCAGAAAAATTGGCAAAAGAGAACTTAGATGTTTAAGTTACATCTTACTTTAATGGAATTCTAATTTGAAATTTCAAAATGTTCAAATTCACCAAATAAACAAGATGTTATTTATCATTATTTTAACGTCAAAATGCCATCTTTAACGTCAGCTTGTTTGCCATTAGTTATGGTTACTGATCAATAGTTATAAATTGCTAGCAAAGTTTAAAAGTTAGTTTAAAAATGTTACCAATATTAATTTTCTCACTGTTAATGAATATAACAAGAAGCAGGATAAAATTTAAAATATTTTATGAAAAATTGTAACTCCTTTTAACACATGTAGGAAGAGTATTCAAATTAGAAGATACATAAAATAATATATAAAAATATTAAAACGTATAATTATCTTATTCTATCTATATAGAAAAAATATATTCAATGTATCTCAATACAATCTAATTATCTGTGACAGATAAATGATAGATTTACTGATAGTATTCGTCACAGGCACTGTAATTCTTAGATACGACTCTGGTATCAATGAACGCCAAGTGTTCACCGCTGCGGAAGATCTCGCGGGAAGTCCCCCGAAGAGTTATGATAACCGGGGCCGATTGTGCTCGGTGAAGAACTCGTCGTCACGCGTACCCACCACTGCGCGAATTGACCGTACGCATTCGTTATTACGCGGCTACGACATAGGGATCAGAGTCGTGTCACGCCGATCGCCGTAACGTAAATAACTCTTTCGCGTGTGTCTGCACGAACGCACTTTTTCTTCTCGTGCGTTCGCTTCTAAAAAGAGGATATATTTCCCTTTAGTGGCGAACGGCAGAAGAGCAAGAAGAAACCCTTCGACAAACAGTATCTGATTAGTAATTAGTATATTACTTATATAATAATCATCTGACGATTGTGCAATAATTGGATAATTGTTGTATTTGTCGCGGAACAAATATCTGTCGAGTGGAATATTTTCTATCACGAAGAGAAGTGACAATTCTTAAGTACCAATGACGATCTCTCGCATCGACGAACAGCCGGATATGAAGAGGAAGGAGCGAAACGTTAAGAGCGATTCCATAAGACATTGTAAGCATTCTGACGAGGATGATGATATCAAGCGATTCCACGGCGACGGGCTCGTCGTCAGGATGCATTCAAATCACAATGTATTGGAGATCGTAGGCGATGGCTGCTGCATCGTTCTATCGAAGAATTCCGGTAGCGTTCACGTCATTGGTGACGGCTGTAAGCTACATGTAAATCATAATGTGGGCGATATTGAATATATTGGCGACGGCGGACGGGTCCTTCTTGGACCGGACTCTTCTAAAGAAAAGGTGAAATTCGTGGGCGACGGTGGAAAGGTGATCCTCTGTTCGAGTCCTGAAACAGTCCCGAAGAAGTTTATAAAGGAACAAAGAAGGGAGACCTACGTGCAAAACTGTACGTGTTCATGTAAGGAAATTATTAACAAGGAATGCGAAGATGATCACAGATCGAACATGGACAATATTTTGAATGATATGAAGGAGAGAAGCCAAGCGAAGTATGAGAAGCGCAACGAGGAAACACGGAAATCCTTGCGGCATCCAACCGTTACGAAGATCATCACGAAGATCCAAAGCGACGGTCAATGCGTAACGAAACGCTTCGGCGATTCTTCGTTGATCGTTAATTCCCGTGGTCGTCCCGTGACGAAAAGTGTGTCGAGAACTTCGGGCACGAATATCGAGCTCAAGTGATGTAACCGAAATTTCTTAGGTGATGCTCCGTAGAAATATTTCTTTCTAGAAAAATAAACGATCAGGCGCGATCAGCAGCTGGCTACATGTAATTCCACGGACAGCTCTTATTTCTTAACCGCCAAGAATATTTTAATTTTATTGAACATTTTAAAGAAACTTTCTTATTGCAATAAAGTCGAGAATAGTTGCATTTCGAAATTGATAGCTTGGAAATACAAACTATTAATAATTACTTAGATAGTCTACTACTAATTATTATAATATTTCGATTTTACTGGTATTATGTTTCTTGTCTATGTGATATTTTTTTATTTATTATTTTAGAAAAATATCTCTTGCATAAAACTTTTGTTTGCAAAGTTTCCATGTCATTATCATGTTAAAATATATTCATTGTTTTGTGAAATAAATTATTTAAAAGAGTTACGTCATGCTGTTTCTTTTTAAAATTACGAACAGCAAATTATTATCAGTATGAAAACTACGTTCAACATAAATATGAGAAATAGAGTTTTTAAATGACTGTTTCATATTGACTAATATGTTATTCACGCATATCAATTATTGCGTAAAAATCTGTTTTTATTTCCACTTTTTCTATCAATTACATTATAATTTTTATATAAAAAATTATTTATTTATAAATCTTTATCTTAAATTTTGTACATATTTTACTAATAAATCTGTTAAACTTTTAATTATTATTACTCTGATTTCGAAACTCAATACAACTTTCAATCAATATTTCGGTAATTTCTATATCAATAATTATAACAATAATATTAATTAAACAAAAATTATCATATCATATTGTTTATGTGCTAAGTTAAATCCATCTGCCTTCTAGTATCAGATTGAAACGACTTCAGAGATTCAAACAATAAATAAAAAACGTAATAAATCTACTCACCCAAATATCAGCGAGTTTCATTTTAAGTACGAAATAATAAATGTAGGAAATAGAGCGATGAGAGACTAAATACAAAGTCGATTTATATTTAGACACGAATAAAGCTAGCAACGCCGTTTCTTAAGAGCACAGTGTGTGATCGATAGATAGGATATCGGTTGTAAACTATTCCTGGCGATCATACGAAGCCCGTAACTGGAAAATTTCTCTGTCCGAAGATATGTATAAAATTACAACACATTCAGTCGGTTGGTAAACAATAAATTGATAAACAATCCTCTTCAATCGCATCGTTTGTTCCTAAAAATGACAAAAAATATTGAAATCAATTAATTTAAATTTCCTATTTTTGAAAAAAAAGTTCCAAAAGTTGCCCAACCAACTTTCTGTCGAAATAATAAATTCTGAACGCAGTTTATTAGTGCTTCCCTCATGTGAAATCCAAGTCTGGGAATTAAGAGATTAGTATTTTGTTTGGTACCCCCTTAATGTAAATTGCAAGCGACTGGGTGCACTGGATACAGCGGTTACCAAGATATTTCAGTAAATGGACGACGGTCACACATGGGGCGGCTGTTGCGGGGAAGATAATTCTATTTATGAACGACAGTAATCCTTAGTATTCCTGAATATCGCGAGAGATTAGTCCCGCGATTTACGAGAATTTCTTTTCTAAGATTTACAATGCCATTTTAATATTTACCTCTATAAAAATGCTCATTCATTTTTAGACTTTCACAGACTTTTCCAAATAAAATAATATTTCTTAGACTTTCTTTTATAATAAATATGAATTCATTCTTTCATATATAAATATTTTAATTTACACATCTTAAATATGCACAAAAAGCTATACTTTTCGTTGGCGGTGTAATAAAAAAATGGAAGAATTAAAGAACGATCGTAGAATGCAGGAAACGCTGCATTCTAG